ATTTGCTTCTGGCAATTTCTGATGTCCCATCAATTACACATCATCAGCAATTTCCTGTTTTCAGTTCTTGTAGCCTGAGATAAAGTATTCTGCTAAATGCTGTCCTGGAAGGAAGAACTGGCAGAAAGAATCTAAAGCTGACAGATATTAGCAGACATTCAGTATCTCCTGCCTATAGTAATTTCATCCATGCTACATGAGATGACTCAGGGAAGAGAGGCTGACATAAATGCGTGTGCCACATGATGACAGGAGAGGCAGAAGAAACCAGTCTGTCCCAACAGAATGCCACCTTCGTGCTTTGAAATGTTCACTTCAGTAAAAACTCGTTTTTCCTCACTGCTCTAACAGTTGGCTACCTTGAGCTAGAGAGTTTAACGGAGTATGCTTGTTTCCCAGATGATGTAAAAACGTCCATTACCTTTTTCTTATTAATTTCCTTAATTTACAACAATTTATTAATGCTGAGTTAACTTCCTCACGCCAACATTTGACCAAGAAGCTATGTTCCTTATTTAGTGAGGAGCTGGAGCGTCAGTGTGTCTGCTGACACTTTCTGCTGAGTATTTCCTCCACCATTTCCACTTACGTTTTGCTGATTTGATACACTGTGTGCTGAACAGTCATCTCTTCAGAGAAAGATGACCAGTCTGACCTGGGTTTGGTTGTTGTGAAGGGCTTGGACAGGGTTGTTAGCTCAGCTGGACAGGAGGAGTTTGTTTCTGACACACACGCTCTGTGAGATTATAGGTGTCATCTGCCAAGGGTTGTGATAAAAGAAGTCCCACAGTTTGAGACAGTGTACTTAAGAATATGCTCAGTTGGAACAGTCCTGCACCAGCTGTGGGATGGTCATGCAGCCACCGTGTTATTTTCCACCTCAAGCTGCTGGGTGCAGTCTGCAGAGCAGCAATTTGTATGGTTCTGTTGGATCTTTTTAATGTTATCTAACATTTTGATGGATTCTGATTATGGCATGTTCTACCACATGGCATTTACTTTATTGTCTGTGAAACTTGTTAATGTAAAAGTTTGCTGTAGAATATAAAAGAAAGAGTATTTCCTCCTTGGAGAATTTTATAGATGTAGCTCTGATTTTTGATGCTATACGTATTGCTTCTCTGCAGTCAAGCACTAGAGACTTGAAATTCCACCAAATTCTGTTCCAGTTGTGGAATTTCACCAGAACAGAGTAAGATCAAAAATCCTTTGCCTCCTTAATGCAACAGATTAGAGGCAAATTCTCTGTATGGTTTATCTCTATTTACTCTAATTGAAATATTTCTTGGGTTTTAAGCTTTCTGGGAGAGAAATGAGATCCATTGCCACTTTCAGAGCAAAGCAGCGATGGAAGCTGAAGAGCAAATAATGATTTTATTCTTTCAGACCGTTCAAGTTTCACTAAGAACATTTTATGAAAGAAGAAACCTTTAATCAAAGAGGTGTACTGATCTTTTTGCATTGTTTTTTTTCAAGATGTATTCCTCAGACATCACCGTCTCTAGGAACACAGAAAAGGTGTAAATTACATTTCACACTTCTGCCTAGGAATGTGGATCCATGTAACCTGCCTGTGCCTTTGGTTAAAGAAGCATTACAAAAGAGGACTTGGGACTGGATGGTGTTAGTACACACCAGCTCTGATTTTTGATACGGCTTAGAGTAAATTGTTTTACCTCCACACTTTGAATTTTCAATCTAAAATATAAATAACTAACCTCAAAGTATGGTTTCAAAACTTAATTAAAGCTAGGGAGGCACAAATTTATCTTTGGAATGAAAGCTCTACATATTTTCCAGTAAATAACCCAAAAGCCCTCAAAAGTGCCAATGTGTGAAAATAATTCCTTGGATAATCAGTAACTATTTCATACAACCTGTGCAAAGGCAGGGATAGTATCCGGCTATCAGGGACAGCGTATGCATTGGCAGTTTGTAGGTATCAACAATTCAAAATAAATTACTGTCATCTTTGGAGGGATGGGTGTTGATGCTGCTCGGAATGCAGTAGGTAGCAGTCACACAGTGCCATGCCAGCTGTGTGGATAACCTAGAAATTAATAACTTCTGCTGCTGCATTGTTTTGATCACCACTGCTTTTCTGTTTTATGTTAAGGGTGCTGTGGAAACTCCTTTAACAACAGGTTTTTTTTTCTTGCTGGTTCCAGATGTTTACAGGAAAGATACACTGCACTGTCTGGGTTTCTCCTGTGGTTGATCCCTTGTACACAGCCTTTCTGTTTGTTTGCATGGCTTAACTAGTGATGCAGCAGTACTGCTGCATTGTAATTCAGAGTGTTTTGGGAAACTAAAAGAGAAATGAGGACCAATCACTGCATTGCAAGCTGAAATAATTACTGAATTCTGAGTATTAATTTCAATATTCAGAGCTGTGGTATACTTAAGAAAAATTAAGGCTTCTTTTGGCACTATCAGTACTACCGAAATCTTTGGATGGCACACTGAACAGACCAGGTGTAACTGGGGTGAATTTCATACATAGGAATAGGTACCAGTGTGTCAGGGGGTCTCTTTGGGGATAGTTCCAAAGGGCAGTGAACTTCTTTTTATTTTTTCTTTTTTTCTTCTCCTTAGCATTTGTTAATTACTGAAGGGAAGAAGTTGAATATGTTTGTGTGCTCAGACTGGAATCTGTTTAAATGTGAAACTTTTGAAGAGGTCATTCCCAAGTAGCACAGCATGACTTATGCATGGAGGAGTGGTGTGAAGTGGATATTAATAAATACAAACTCCAAGCTACAAAACATGGTGTACTTTATGTACATGAGAGTGCAAAAAATTGAAACTCTGAGAAAGCCAAGAAGAAAAGACATGACCCAATGGTTTCAGAGAAGTGATGGGTAAGAGTAAACAGGATTTTTTAAAGAACCAATTTCTTAAAGGGATGCCAGTAAGGCAGAAATAGGGAGAAAGGAGAGAAGAAGGGCTGAGATAAATATCAGCTAACTTTGCCAACAGACTGGGATAATTAAGTCACTGTGGAAAGAAGAGTTTGGGCATCAGGGAGTCTGTTGCTCCTTTTCTTGCAGCAGAATTGCCAATGTGTTTGCTTTGAAGTTGTGTATGTATATTTATTTAGTCTGCACACATAGCTAACTGACAAGTGAGTGCGTGTGTGCATGCCTAAATGGTTTATTTCAGTATAAAACTCTATGGTTTGTATCTGAGTAAAGATGAAATTACCATATCTCTCTAGGTCAAATTTCTTGGTTCATTTCTTGTAAGGGGACTTTGTAAATACACAGAAACTGTACTGTGTAGTGCAGAATGAAATCTGTCCCTCTTGTAAGCCTGCTGGGAAACAATGCCCATTGGAAATTATGTCTTTTTATTGATCTTCAGATATTTAGCAAGTTCATATGTTACTTTAAATTTGCCCATTCTTTGTGTGTTTTCTGCTAGACGTATCCTTGAGCAGATCATTTCACTTTTAATGTTGTTGTTTTGGCCTTCATAAGGTTATGCTGTGAAAGAAATATGAAACAAAATAAAAAAACCTCAGACTTGGGAGTTATTAGCAAGAGAACATTCCTCTATATTATTTACAAACCCAAACACAGGAACATTGAAAGCCCCAAGTGAAGTGTACACGATTGATTTCTCATAATCTAGTGCTGGAAGAAAATGTGCACAAAGTAGTGAAGTATAAATAGCAAAAACTGATTATAGAATTATTGTGGTCATTGAAAGCTGACCCTTGTTGTTACAAAGTAGGTTCTGTAATTATGGCCATTTGAGTTTGTACTTAAGCACCTAAATATAAATGACCTATTCTTCAGAGGTTCTCAGAAGCAAGGGTGGTATCACACAGTGGCAGGATTTGATAAAGGGGTGATGTGCTGTCACCAGCAGGAGAAAAGAAGATTATTTTTCCAGGACTAATCCTTGTGGTCTGGAATGAAGCAAGGTTTCTAGGCCTGGATTTATTTCTCTGCCTCAAAACTCACTAATGTTTTTGAGTATGAGCATTTGAAGTTGGGCGTGTGAAGTGTAAAAGTGTACTTTGATTCTTAGGCTGAATGAGTTTTCTAGTCACTCTGTATTTGCGTAAGTACAACCTTTGAAAGTAAAATTCTGTAGCTGTTTGTGTTTATTTAGTCTGTATTTTTCTATATATATTTAAAAGTAACACATACACAGTAGTGGTAACCATTGTCCTTTCGGACATTGCGCGTTAGGGGAAGGTATGTACAAATGCTGACTTTTAGTAAGAAAAACAGGCTGATTATGGACATTAAAGAAGCATGTTTGAGTGAAGGCTATTAGTGGTTTCTGTCTGCAGGGATTTAACAGTTGTGCAGTTATGCCCAAGTCCCTGGTACGTGCTGTGTTCAGTAGTCCTGCAGCCCAAAGAGGAAGAAGAAAATGATGAGGACACAGAAAAGCACCTCTGTAGAAATGAAGTACTTGGATGTTGGTTAAATTCTTATTGGACAGAGCTGCAGTGCCCGATGCCCAGCCCAGTGACAAGACCCCAGTGAAACCTCCTATCCCCCAGTGGCCAGTGTCTTTGCCCCTCACTGAGGCCTGTGAACAGGCTGCATGCTGCAGGTACCTGGCTGCTGGCTGCTTACATTCTGTTTGTCTGTAAAGGGTCATTGTTTCTTACAGTAAATGAAAGTTACATCTATGCTCAGAGCTGTTTTTGACTCGTAAGTACATACATTCCCAGAAGAGCTGTGATTATAAAACCAGTGATTCGATTGTACAAAGAATGATCTGCAGCAACTGGGTCAGGCGGTGGCTTCCACAAGCCACTTTATCACTAGTTGCTGTCAAAATATTTGCAATGAAAATAGCATTGAAAATAGGATGGCATTCACACGAGTTGAGATGAGATGCTGGAAGGTAAGCAGTGCACTATACAAGGCTCTCCGATGTTTTCTCAATTCACTGAAAAGCTTAACATTCACATTTTGCTCACACACTTCGCTGATGTTTTTTTTAAAAGAAAAAATATACTCCTTTTTGTTTTTTAGTTCCTCCAGGAGTGATACAGAATGGAGCTCGAGTTCTGAGTAGAGGAATATTTCCTGGAGCCAGGCCATTGCCAATCAGCCCTATTGGAAGCATGGCTGTTGCAGTAAGGTAAGAGTGGCTCATTGTGAGATCTTTATGGAATAAATTATTATTTTGCAGATAATATAATAATATGCATAAGCTTGGAACACGAGAAAATTTATTGCTTGCTAATACTTAGGAGATTTTAAATGAAAGAGGCACTCTGCCATCCAAAACTCACAGACTGCCATTCTTTGCAAGATAGTCATGGCATTTCTGTCTTATTTCATACAGGCGTACAAAGAACATCGTTTTGTTTTCACTAGCAAGTTGAAGGCAGCTTTCTGTAAGAAGCTCCTCGGGTGGCCTCTTTTTCTTAGTGCAGATGTGTTTTCCTGCCCCCATCCCCCTTTAAAGACAGTTTCCTGATTCTTTTTTCTGGGATTAAATACCTATAGCTGTTATTTTGTTATTAATGTAGGTCTTTGTGAGATGGTTTCTTTCATTACAGATTCTATTTCAAGGTTATACTGAGACATTCAAGGGTAAAGTGTTGTTTGAAGATCCTCGACTTTTTTTCCAGAAAGCAGGGCACTAAGGGACATCTAGTGATGGCAATAAGAACTGTGGTTCAGCGGTTTGCTTTACTTAAAGTAGTGATGGTTTATTGTTGCACGAACAATTTGCCTCAGGTGTAGCTCCATTTTGTGTCAGTCACAACAGAGAATAATCCATCAAGTGTGCTGCCAGTGCTCTTTCAAAACTCACATTAGCAGTAAAAGCCAGCTCAGGCAGTTGGATATTCTGGGTGGGATTTCATGTTCAGTGCTGGCGCTGCTTTGCTGGGCTGTTCCAGTTGCGCACTAATCTCAGTAAGTGGTTGCAAAGCAGTGAAATGAAGGAGCTGGATAGATACTTGTTCCATCATTATTTACTTGGGATTTTTTTCATTGCACTTTATTTTTTATCTCTTTTCAGAATTATTGTCCAGCTCTTTGGGGATAGTTTTTACATCCAAAAAAATGGAGGGAGAGAGATATTCATGTAATCTTGATGACTAAAGATTCAGAGGAGGAAAGACACTAACTTTGATGGGCAGCTGCTTCAACTGTTTTTCATATTTGCTATGCTGTAGAGATACAGCCCTAGGGGTCATCCCCCAGAAGTCTGCAGAGTTTCTCTCCGTCTCACTTTTCTGCTGTCTGGTCTTGCTAGCAGTGGAGGGCAGCCATCTTCTGTGGCTATGCTTCTGGCTTTGGCCTTGTACTTGTATTCTGCTGGTACTTGTATTCTGCTGCAGAGGGGACTGCAGAGCTATAGGACTGCTGGATTGTATACTGTATACATACATTTATACATTTGTATACATGCATTTAGGAAGTGACCAAGCTAAACAGAAGATGCAGTGGTCTGAATATTCTCTGAATATGCAGCTTATTTGCACTTCCAGCTTAGGGCCCTTCCTTAGGAAGAGGAGACTTTCTGTTCTGCAATCAGGGTTAACTTAAGGAGGAGATAGATCTGTTTTTCCATCCATGGCCACTCAAAAACTTTCTTCTGTGTAGACATCTCCAAATTGCTGTGTTGTAAGGCTGCATATAGTTAACTTTTATACATTTCTGAGGACTTCTCTTTGGAGTGGGAGGGGGTCAGCAGGTAGAACAGGACCGTCCCCTGCTACATGCTAATCTAGATTTGGGAGATAAGGGATTTTACCCCTCCCTTGCTTACGTTCTTTTTGCTCTGTCTCACAGAAGAGCGTTTAAAATTTGTTAACGCAGACATATTTCTAATTCTTTTTGTTCTCTTCTCCAGCCTTAGGCAATAGTAGAAATAGCTTACTAGGAATATATTGCTGGTCTGCATGATGTCTGCTCTTCTTCAGGAGCTTCTGCAATATCTTCTAATTCTTGGGGGAAAAAAAGTGAGGGGAGAGCAGGGAAGAGGCTGTGAGAGATTTGGATAAGTTAAGGGATTCTCTGCAGCAGAGCAAGTACAGAAGACAGTTTTGTCTTGTGCCTACTGGGGATATTAAGAATCAGAATTTCTTTAGGAATCGATTTGGATGCATAGTACCTCTTAGAACATCATCTGGACCTCTGAAAACTGGATATTTCTGTTACTATAAAAACAACATCCTGTTTCTTGGTGCTTGCTCCTCTCTTCAGATATACAGCTAAATGGAGCCTGTTGTGCTGAGCTTTTGTGGCATCTTGTGGAAATCCATACAACTTCTGCTTACTGTGTACAGCAGAGGGAGTTTATCACAGTGTCTGTGCAGCATTCCTCTGCTGCTGTGAAGAGTGGGAGTACTGCTTGTGCGTAGCTGCCTTCCCTGTGTGCAGGGAGTTACCCTAGTCAGGATGGCAGGGGATGTTTTCAGAAATGTCCCCTTCCAGCTTTTTCACCAGCAGCAGCAGGTCTGCTGGGCAGCCATAGCAAGTGGTGTAGTCTGATTTTCCAGTTAACCTGCAGAAATTGTGTCCCTCAACCTATATATTCAGGGAAGGCCAGACACCTTCTATCCAATAAGATTTTACTTAGTTGTGTATTTTCTGGAGAAGAGTTCCTCTGATGTTCTGAATGAAAAGCCATAAACCAGGTTTCTGTTAATTTAGTTCTGTTGCACTGTCCTTTGCCTTCACTTAGGTTTCCATTCTGCGTCATATGCTGAAGAACACAGCAAAATGAAAGATAAGTCTATGCAGCTAGATTTGTTACCAAGAGGACCACGTGCAAATAACCTGCAGTGTGTTACCCTGATGTGCAGACTGCCGTTACTGTCAAAATAGAGTAACAAGTTTGATCTTGGGTTAAATTTGCAGTTGTAACTAAGCAGGATGTTTTGATAAATCCGTTATTCAGAAGAGAGACCGAAACCACAGCACAGAGCTAAGAGACATTGAAATCAGTGATTTCTGATACATTAGCTCCCATTAGTTGGCAAGTTAACTGTGTGATTCTTGCTGTTCTGTCCCTGCACAAGATATCAATGTGTTGTTGCTTCCATGTAACTACATACAATTACATTATCCTTTATATATAAAACAAAATATGGTGGATCTAAGTAGGATGAATTAAAAAACCCTATTAAAAAGTATTTAGAAGCAAGAAGTCCACCAGTTTCCATAAATAAAGAATAGCAGCTGAAGATGGCGTCGTTATGTTGTAGTGCATTTGGCTTAAGTTGCACAAATAGGCCTTTCATCCCAAACTAATCTACAAATGGAGAAGGCTTCCCACACTGTTTTTACTTTGAAAATCATCCAGTGGTGTTAAATCTCCACAGCAGAGCATAATTGGTTGTGTTCTGACAGTAGCTTTTTATTTCCTTTATTCACATTTCTTTTAGCTTGTTTATCATCCGTATTTTCCATGTTGTAGCTGACAAGTCTAAGACCCACCCAAAGACAGCAGGAGAAAATAAGGTTTTCAAAGCTGTGCAGTGTGTAGCGTGTCTCTTACATGAGATCCATCTTATGTATTTTTGGCAGACCGTATCACCATACAGTTCCCCAAGTGAATCTAAAAGCAAATGCAGTGCTACTCTGAACGCACAGAAAATAAAATACTGACTTAAAACGGTATTCAGTGAAAGCAATCAAAGTAAGTAGTGGCTTATGTGAGCATGGAGTTGACTGTGCTTTGAAGGTGAGCTTTTGCTCTTACTGTGTAAAATTAGAAAATACCCTTTAGATGTTTCTATAGGAGGACTTCTGTATACATTTCAGTGGGCATGGTCAAAATCGCCAGTGCATCTGCAGCATGCATGGTGGCAAGGTACAGGAAGCTCTGTCAGATGCAGTCACATTCTGAATTTGTAAGGTGGTACCAATTACACCAACCCTTTGGAAGAGCATGAGCTTGGTAGAGCATTTTGGACTGCAGTGCCAGTGCGTTCAGCAGAAACCTCTCACCATGATCTCTGTAAATTGCCTTGGTTTCCTTTAGCACATGCATGGATTGTGTCTGTGCACATCCTTCCCACAGCAGAGCAAACTTGCTAAGCCTAAGCTTTCCCTTCCTGCAGTGGGCAGGTCACAGATACCTTGCTGCAGTTCCTCTGCTGCTCATCATCACTGGAGTTTGACAGGAATGGCTGTTGTGCCTAATTTTATTTGAAGAGGCAAGATTTTTATTTATGATTATTTTAACTTCAAATTTGTAGGGCAATTACTACATTATTCAGGAGTGATTAAATAAACCAAACATAAGTAACATGTGCAGCATAGATGCCAAAGCATTGTAGGATTATATGCTCTCGTGTCTGTACACAATTACTTCTGCTTAAAGGAACTGGTAGATATTTCCTTTCATAAATTCTTAAGTGGATATTCTTAATGTTCTAGTGTATTACTGATATGTTCAGCTTAACAAACCCCACGTCATCCTTGTTGGATTGCTTTCCCCTTTTCACCTGCAGCAGGCAGGGTATGTTTTCATTGGGGTGACTGAAGGACCAAAGATGCAGCTGACAGTTATTTCTCCTGCAAAAAGAAGAGGGCTGCATTTGCCTGAACTTCAGATTTGCTGTTGCTATTGACAAAGTGCTCTTTTTGCTAGCAGTTCATGATTCATGCTTGTTATGGTTCTTTGCATACAATTACTCTGTGAAGTATCTCTGTAAGAGCTTCCATCAGTAGTGTATCTGACTTGTTTTAACTCAATAGCCCCTGATAGAATCTCTTCATACAACAAGTGAGCATCACTTATCTTCCATATGCTTGCTTATTGTCCCATCTGCTGGTATGTAGTGTTTATAAATAACAGTTCAACTACCTGTATCTAAAACTGACTCTCCTGAATTTTTCTCTGAAATCGTGTTGCCTTTATGGTAAAAGAGTGTGTTAGCAAACCTGGAGCCTGACAGAATGCATACATTCAACTTACGGTAGCAAACTGTATTGCTTTCTTTATATCTTTTAACTGTCTGTTTCCAAAACTCACACTACAAGTCATCCAAAATGTTTAGAGGGATTAAGCTGGTATTTAAACTTTATGTAGGTTTGTTTTGTTCAACAAAGGAATATACCTGTCTCTGATGTGGAATACAGTAAGTATTTTTCAGTCAAACTTCTTGCCATGTTGCAGACAGAATGGAGACTTACTTCTGCTGCATCCCAAGGAAGATCCCTTTAAAAGGCAGAAGGAGTGACACTGTGCAAAAGCAATTGTTTCATTACTGCATTGAGATCCAGCTCCTGTAGGCTCCATTTTGCTCCTGATGAAATTAGTAACTCATATCAATTTACAAGGGGAATGGAATCAGGCTTTCAAAAGGCCGACTTATCTCTGTAGACCTTGAGGGTTGTGTAATTGTGCTACAGCCAAATTGAAATATTAAAAGAATCTGTGCATGGTACTTTTAGGTGTAGAACTGTGGTTAAGAACCCTCAAGCAAATAAGACTCTGTAGGATGAAAGGCTCCAGAGACTGCCCCATGGCCTTTCCTGACAGAGGCAGGCATATTTGAGAACACGTCAGTTTCTGGAAATTATGCAATGAAGTGCTGAACTAGAAAATGGGGAAATAATAAGGTATTACTTTAAATTTTGCCTCACTGTTACACTAAGCACGCAACTCTTAAATATTTTTTCTTCTTCAGTATAATTAAATACTAATCCAAACATCAGAGCAAGTGCCTGTTTTAAAACAACTATTGTTGTTTCAGTGACAAAGTTAGAATCACAACCAGAATTTTGAGCAAAAATAGATTCAGCTGGCCAAAATCTGTCCCCTGAAGCCTGAGGGAATTCATCTGCTGATGATCTGCATTGAACTTAGTAGATCACCAGATTGATGTGTTAGTGAGTGCGTGAGTGGGTACGAGCACAATATGAAGCTTGACAATGTCTGAGAAGCATGTGTGGATTATTAATGATTTAGATGAAAGTTTATTCAACTCTTACTTATGTACTAATATCAATTCTAACTAATTCTTCCTATGTTTTGGCCTGTTGCCTATCAGATGAATTTACTTTCAGGCTACGTGAATTTTGACCTGATGAATATTCTAAGTCACTCTGCCTGTATAACTCATTTTCATCTCTGCAGATAACCCTTGCTACTTCTCTCCTTGACCTTCTTTCTCTTCCTTTTTTATTTCCCCAAGCAGAACTGGTTGGAAATCTTTCAAAATGTAAGTGAAAAATATAAAGATTTTTCTGAGATGCAAATGCTGTCCGTTTCCTGACCAGTTCCACCATAGCTCCTTTTCTTTTGAAATGCAGTATTTCTTATCTCCTCCCACTTATTTTAAAGTCCTTTTTTTTTGTCCTTTTCTCTCTTTCTTTGCCATCATCCCTGTTTGCAATCATTCCTGTGGGATTCTAGCCCCATAGTAGTATACTTTCCCCCAGGACATTGCTCCTGTAATCCCTGGGCCTTTTCATTCCATTTTTCTGTTGTTTTGGGATTTTTTTAGGGGATTGGGATCTGGAGTATGTCCCTTGGCAGAGCTTTTGAATCCAAATCAGAGCCCCTTTATGGAAAAGCAAACACTAGACTCAAGAGGGGGCAAGCCAGGGTGGTCTTTTGGCACATGGTTGCTCATAGTTTTAGAGAGCAAATAGAGGTAGATCTGATAACACAAAATTGGGCATCTTGATTTAAATCCCATCTTTCAGAAGCCTTTTTCACTAGTAACCTAATCCATAAGAATTCTACTTGGGTTCCTATCTATTCTGTCCTGTGTTTTTTCCCCTGGAGCAAGAATTTATTGGTGGCTTTATGTGGGGGACTAGGAACATGTGATGTTTATTGAGACACATTGCCCTGACTAATAAAATCAAGTAACTTTAATTTTATGCAAATTTATGATAATTTTGAACATATTTAAATGTAAATTTACCCTAAAAATGAAGAATCTGTCACTTAACATGCATCACATGCTTCCTCATAATGACTGATCTTAAGGAGTTGGTTATAAATTCACCTTTCAACTAGTTTAGTATGGATGATTTCTTCTTTTAAGCATTTGGCATCCTCTAATGACAACCCCTGCAGTGGGAAACCATCACAAAGTAAATGCAGCTGGCTTGCTGCACAATCATGAATGACATTGCATTTAGTTATTAATAATTGAAGGAGCATTGTGTATTCCTTCTGGGTTTTGTATATAATTTATGGATCATAAAGCTACTTCAAAATCTAAGTGAAAATAATTTTATTGAGCAAAAGTGGCTGCTAATAACTGTGCCTTCTGTTACATATATTTATCTGAAAGTACTGTAAATAAGAACATTTGGAGAGACTGATTAATGCACTGCCTTTTAGCACTGTCCTGTCACTGGTTCTCAGAAGCTGTTTCTTACTTCAGTAAGCTCCACAGATAAGTGCACTGAGATGAATAGGAACTGAGGGATTATATACCTCTTCTGTATTTTCCACCTTTCAACCATACCTATCTAAAATGCTCTGTTGTTCATTCTGTAAAGAAACCAGACCTGTGCAACACTCCCTGAAAACTAAAGCACTTTCCCATTTTTAAAGCAGAAACAGGGCTACCCCTGGTCACTGTCACATTTCAGTTAAGAAGCACCTGTGTTGAGTGTGCATTTTTAACCAACGCAGTCATGACTGTATGAAAGCACTGTGGTGATGGCACGAAGGTGGCAGGACCTGATTTTAAAGTGGTTTGTCATGTGACAGATGAAACAGCCTTGCTTGTTTTTGATTTTGGTTTTTATTGATAGAGGAGTTCAAGGCTGGTGAACAGGCAGGGAAAATGATGATGAACTCGGGGATGAGCATCTCCCTCTCCTAGTGGAAATTAAACACTGCACAGAGGCAGTCCATTCTGCGGCTGACTTGCAAGCATTGTGTTCTCTCTTGTGAAGTCATTGGTAATGCTATAATATCTTCCAGTGCAGAAGGGGACACCATTAGTTTTTTAATATATTGTGCTGCCATAGTTCCTACAGTGCTGGGAGCTGTGTGCCATAAAAACGAAGAGGAAAATGAAAATTTCTAAAGCAAAATCAGATTTTTTGGTACTGTTTGTTTTTGAATACGTTTTAATATTTTGTTGGCAGTGTTTTATAATCACATTGTTTTTAAGATCCACAAACTGATCGCGGTTGAAAACGTGACTGTCAAAAATGTCCCATCTGGGACCGCGCAGATTCCAGCTGAAATCCTCCTACCTGGGAATGGCAGAACTGAGAAGGAGTGTCTGAGAGGAGCAAAGGCAGAACACCAGGAAGTTGGTGTCTCTTGCTCGCGTTTTTAGTAGTATCATTTGAAAAGGTTGGAGGATATTTATATAACTCCACAGAACTTATTTGAAATCTAGTAAATAAAACTTTTTAATTATTTTTTTAAAACACGGATCAGGACCCGCCCAGACATCAGTTCTTACAGCCACCTTCCTTGCTCCTGCCTCTTGTACTGCTGTGTATCTATTGCCATGAAAAATGTGTACAGTCCAATTTGCGAGCAATTGTAAAAAATCAGGCTTTGAAAGTGGCCTGCCCGGATGTTACTTCAGTAATCATAACTTTCGATTACCTGTCAGTTGTTTTCACCTTATTATTTTTTGCACTGAAGCAGGATTACTTCTCTGCAGTTTTTTCAACTACTTCAATTTGCTTTTCCAGGAATGGGATAACAAACTGCCGGATGCGGACAGAAAGCGAACAGTCTTGTGGCTCCCCCGTTGTTAGCGGCGACCCAAAGGAGGATCACAACTACAGCAGTGCCAAATCTTCCAACCACAGGAGCACATCACCTGCTAGTGACTCCGTTTCCTCTTCCTCTGCTGATGACCAGTATGAATTTGCAACTAAAGGTAGCCAAGACAGCAGTGAAGGAAGTGAAGTCAGCTTCCAGAGCCATGAGAGCCATAGCGAAACAGAAGAGGAGGACAAAAAGCAAAATCGGAAGGAGACCAAGGATTCTTTAGCTGACAGTGGGTATGCATCCCAGCACAAGAAAAGGCAACATTTAATGAAGGCGAAAAAAGTACCAAGTGACACACTGCCTCTTAAAAAGAGACGTACTGAAAAGCCCCCTGAGAGTGACGATGAGGAGATGAAAGAAGCAGCGGGATCCCTCCTGCATTTAGCGGGAATTCGATCCTGTTTGAATAACATCACCAATCGGACGGCAAAGGGGCAGAAAGAGCAAAAGGAAACCACAAAAAATTAGAACAAATCAATGATTTGTTTGAACTTACAAAGTTTTGTTTCAGCACGTCAGGTGAATTCTAATGATTTGTGGCAATATCAGCAATTTTTCCTTTTTCGTTTTTCTTTCTATTTGGTTTTATTTCTTTTCTTTTTTTCTTTTTTTTTTTTTTGGACCCTTAAGATTTTTATTTTTAAAGGAGATTGAAGCCATAGAACTCATACTGACACTCAGCTAATTTACAAAAGCTTTTCATTATCCGAAGAGAAAAAGTTAACAACAAAAAAAAAGCCAAAATCGCCATTGCTTTCTCCGGCTTGTCAAAAAATGCATGGTTGAATACGCAGTGACATCAACATTGTTGTGATGGGATAAGATTGGGCACTTGGAAATCTCTCTTACACTAGAAGAGATTGCATAATTTAGTAGTCATTCAGGCCTAGCCCTTAAGAATTTTTTTAACGGCCTTACAATTGGGATGTGAGTGAATGTGAAGAAAGAGATTTGGGGGAAAGAGAAGGCGTGTACTTCTCACACCAAACCACAGACCATCTAGTGGCACTTGGATTCACCGTGCCATAGAAGTCTTTGGACAGCCACTGGTGGCAGCTGCGCATACCGTAATGCACTTGCAGTGCGTCGCGTACGGTATGTGGCTCCTAGCGGGAAGACTGGTGACTTTTGGGAAGTTGGAACTGTGTATGCAACGAGTGAAATAATGAAAAGAAATGGGGGGGAGGGGGTGGTGGCACTGTTAATAGCATTGCTAATCATTGAATTATGTCTTCTATATTAAATTAACTGAATGTTCAAAAAGCCATAAGCCCGAAGATTGGCACTGCGTGCAAAAAATAATAGTGTAGGGAAAAACAAGCTGTGTCTTCTAAACTGCCTGAGTGAAAAGCAATCAAGTCTAAGAAATTACAGTAGATATCAAGTCTAAGAAAATAAATCAGAATCCTTTTGTGTGGATCAAACATTTGATCTAACTGAGGGGAAAAAAGCTACAAAACCTGCCATTAGTATTATTCTGTAATTTAAAAAAACAACAACAGGAAAGCATATTGATGAACAATGAAATGAAGTTCAACAGAACAGCTCCTACACTGCCCTCAGAAGGGAGCTTTGCAGTTAATGTCAGTCAGGATTCATCTGTGCAAAAACCACGGATTTCCAGATTCAACCAGCGTAGCCAGCAGAAAACAAAAAAAAGATCCACACTGCATGGATTCCTTTTGGAAGTGGAGGAGCTGGGCTGTTGAACTTCATTTCATTGTTTT